TTCGAAAAAGTGGATGCGTTCAAACAAAGGTGCCTACGTCGGAATATGAAGATAAGATACACAGATTACGTCAGAGGTGAGTAAGTTCTATGCTGCTCTGGAATGAATAGCCTCCTCGTAGGTTTCGATAGACTGGCATACATATCGCTCATGTAGCAGTTCATCCCACGAGTGGCCTTGTAATGAACATCGTTAGAAATCAAGCACACTACATAAGAGCGCTCGCAGAAATACGTGGGGATAGAAATTCGTCAACAAATTCAAGGTTGTAAATTCTCGAGGGATAAAGGAGCAGTTATTGCACAAGAAAGGCAGCACAAAGAAGACTACACAGCTAATAACAGCACAGGATGAACAATTTCTGAGCGAGGAAGTTTTATTCGCATCAACTGTCACCATTTCTCCTCCAACCCTATTCTTCCGCCCTCCATCACAATCTATTACGACCCCCAGGTATTCCTTTTCACCTACTATACGTAGGGGACCCTAACTTATCACTGATTTGCCATCTACTCATTTCAACCCATTTCGCAGTTTGTACACCTTCCTTCCTTCCACCTTCGTTCATCTCTACTGGCCTAACCGCCTTCCTCTCTGTACCTCTCTGATCTTCTTCCCAAATTTCACATGCCGGTCACTGATAACATTGAAGCGCTACAGATAGAAGTAGCTCACCAGGAGTAAACGTCGTTCCATGGACCTTGTACAAACAGAACTCTGCCTTACCTGTTGAGGTTTTGCTCTTCTAATCTGCAGCACACCCCTTTTATTGTGAAGTTTTGGACAGTATCGAATTGCTCATAATATTTCAAAAGGAAAAAGGAAAATTTGGGCAATGTCGAATTCAAAAAAAGAATTCATATCAAGTAGATGTCATAGGAGGACAAATCTATCACTGATCATCGACCGGCCAATCTAAATCCCGAATCCACGAAAAATTAAGACTCACCTTTGTTTTTGTACACATACTCGCATCCATGATCGCACGCCGTAATTGTTGTAAATTCCTTTTTACTATACTTGTAGCAATCTTCACTGGCGAGGAGTTCAGTTGGTAAAAGGAGGAGAACAACGATTAGGCAGATGATGAAGGAAAGTGAGTGTGGCATCTTGCAATCTGAATTACTTACTGGTGAATAGCACAACTCATTCCAATGAGGGCGACGAAAAAATGAGATAAAAATTTTTGGATGTGATGGAATTACGTGGAAATAAACTAAGGTGGATGATCGTGGGTAGCACAGTAGGCTACAATCCCAATCAACTGCCTTTCTTCTTTTACGAGCCAGGAAAACTAACAGCAGCCCCCTTCAGAGAACACATAGAAAAAGTGGGTTGAACATCAGATATAGTTTTAAGTCTTTATATGGCCACCATCCATGTAAGAGCCCCTACAGGGGGCTACGAAGAGGCGAGAGGCGCCTTGTCAGCCTAAACTCACTTAAGATCAAAGAGGCATCATGAGATAAGAGAACCGTTTTGAAAACCACAAGAGATATCGGAAAAATTTGAAAGAAATGTCGAGGTAAAAGGATAAAAAAGGAAAAAAAGTTCTAGATAGTGGCACTACAGTTTTTATAGCCAAGTCCCACACTCCTGAACATATTTTCCAAGTACGGCTTTCTATGAACCTCGGCATAATAATAATAATAATAATAATAATAATAATAATAATAATAACATCCTGAACATAATCAAAAGAATGCTTCATTTATTATTCCTTTTTAGGGTTGGTTCCCACGTTGGTGTTCTATTCATAATCAGAGAATTTCAAAATTTCATTCTAGTCCGCGTAGCTATGGCATCATTCCAGCTTTAAGAAAGATTTTCATCGTTCCGTTTACAGGGATGTTTGGCTTCTAGGCATCATTCGGTAAAAGAAGAGTAACCCACGGATTGAAGATCAGGAAAAATCTTCCTGCATTACAAGATCTCAATTCAGCCAGTCATCTACAGAGCATGCACAGAGTCTTGGCTCTTTGTATGTCCCCTATAAAATTCATATTTCATAGAAAGGCTCCCACACTAACACACAAATGTTCAGGGATCGAATTCCCGATCGATGCTCACTGAAGCCAACCAAACCTATCTCATCAAGGCTGTTCAGTTGGTACCAGACTCGTCTTGAAAGGGAGAAGGACTAATCACTCGTTTATCGACTGGCGACTGTAAGTCATTGTTTAGGCCACGTACGTGATCATAAAGCCAAAGCGATTCTGAATGAAATGCCAACAAGGGGTGCATCCCATATCCGGTATTGATGGAGATGAAGAAATTATCCTTTTGAACTTTGGTGATCATTAGCTTCCTGCGCCCCCTGAACGTACGTAAACCTTCGATAATTCTTAACTTCTGTTAGAATATCTAAAGTGCCGGTTAGCCTCCTAAAAGTAATATGATCTCGTCAACTCTTGCGATGCGGATATGTTTTACCGTGATGATTGCTTCATACCAACGAAAAAAACTACCAAAAAACAGTGGCTCTATAGGTAACGAGGACATATTCCGCTTTCGAAAGCGGGGCGGTCATGGATAGCTAACCAAGTCAGCCTGTAAAACTGATCGCCTCTTGGGAGACCCTTTTCGAATGTCGGCTTTTCAGGACCAAGAAATAAAGAAAGGTGAATACTAG